GCCTGGGTTGGACCCACCCTCGAGCAGCTCGGCCAGCGCCTACGCTAGGTAGCACTGGTAGGTGGCTATCGCCTGCAAGGCGGAAGCAGCCTGGCCCGCAGCTATGTAAGCTCTAGCTCCGAGGGAGGTAGATAACTTACAGGCTTTGGATGGGAGACGAGGCGGACCCCGCCAAGAAGAGGCGCCGTGCGGATTTACCGCCATCGCGCACTCAACCTGAGGAATCGCCACATCCCCCCTGGCTGTTCCACCGTCAAGAGTGGTGAGAGTGGAGGGACACGCAGCACGAGCAGAAAAAAGTGCTTTTCAAGACCGTGTGAGCCTACTGTGCACCTCCGGGAAGAAGGGAACGCCCCTCTAGTCGGTCCGAAGCAGCCTGGGAAAGCACGGCTAATATGTCCGTTTCAGGATCCGTAGTGACAGCGCTCACCAGCCCGAAGGGGGCGAGCAGGTCTGGATCATCATCGGACAATGAAAGCCCACCCTCCGATGCCGCGGTGGACGTCTGGTCTCCGGTGTCATCGGGCGTAAGGGCTACCATCTGTTAGACGGATTGCTCCCCGCCCGAAGCTTGGATGGAGCGCTTAGAGGAGCGGGAGGTCCGCGGGCCCTTGGGCGACGGATTATCTCTCGCTTGAAACCCTCAGATCTGCCCGAGTGCCCGCTGCAGAGCAGGGGACAACTGGGGTGGTTCGCCCTTTTGCAAAGGCTAGCCGCGATCTTTACTGCGCAACAGTCATGGCATCGCAATGACGACATGAACTGCCCGCGAGCAGCGCATTAACATGCTGGATCCCCCAGGCATGTAACGCAGTGCCCGTGCCCATCATCCGAGGACAGGAAACCACCGCATCCAGAAACGCACAGTCGGAGCGCCGTCCTGAAAAGGACGTGCTGCACGACTGTGTTGCTTTTTCTGTGAAGTTTGCAACTTTATACGCACCGCTCTGGAGGACCGGACCCAAAGAACGCCAGGCAAGGGAGAAACCCAGCTCGACCGTCTGCCGCTGCGTGTACACACTCTGGACCGGGAGAATGCTCTTGTTCGCTCAGAATCACTGGTCACAGCAGGAGGAACCCTCATCGACTCGATCAGAAAGTCTCTGAAGCGAAAAGGATGGCGTCTGCTCGCTCCAGGTGTGCTTATATGCTGGGATAATTGGCAATGAAGTACACCTGTGCAAGCTTACGCTGCCAAATCATTGCATTCATTGGCCCATTCAATACTCTTTCAGACAAGCGGCTTCTGAACCGAATCCTCCCATTTCGTGGATTCAATCAATCCACTCTATGGCACTGAAGTTCCCCAACCGAAGGGAAACATTGATTAAACTGATTCCATCAGAAGGGTGCATTTAGCATGGATTTCATGCCCAAAATGTAATGGAAACCGAAAAAATTTATTAAATAATACTATTTTTGGATCATGCAATATCTTACGAGATATACTATTTATTTATAAGGTTTTAATTTTAATTGTTCATCCGTCAGGCTATAGTGAGTATAGGCTTTAACGTATTCAGCCTTTCAGTATAGGCCTACAGCAAAGTAGAAAGAATCAATTTTATTCCGTCACTAATTGATATATATATATATATATATATATTCATCACAATGGAAAAGATTTTTCTTTTAAGAATATTTATTAGTGATGCACGCAATGATTACAGAATAACAAAAAAAAAATGCAAAGAATGGCAATGACTGATTTTTGAATCTCTTTCAACAATTGCAAAAAGAGACTGAAAGGGCAGAAGCACAGCTTCATCTGGCAGAGGAACAACTGACTCTGACCAAACTGCAGCAAACCAAGGCCAGACTTGAGATCCACCTCCTAAAGGCTGCGCTCAGACAAACTGGTCTCTCCACATCAGATGAGGAAGTCTGAAATTATTGTGGAGTTTTTGACATTAAGTCTTTTTTTATTTACATCTTTATTTGAAACTTATTATAAGTACCCTCAATGTACAGTGTTGTAGGTCTCAGATGAGCGAACTGCTGAAAGAGGATGGGGTGGGTGTTTTTATTATTTATTATTATTATTATCATTATTATTATTATTATTATTATTTTAATAATTATAACATTTTCTTAGTTTTCATTTCAAATAAAAATAAAGTTATATTGGCCCCACGCTGGCTATTCTACTTGTCGCTCTTTACATATCTATAGTTCTACATTAGCCCCTTTCACACATACAGACCTTTCCGGAAAATTGCCGGCAATTTTCCGGAAAGGTTGTATGTGTGAACAGGCCCTTTTTGAAAATACCGGTAAATTCGTTCTGGTTTTTTTCCGGAAAGAGAAGTTGTAACATTACCGGTAATTTGCCGGAATGCTCCGCTGTGTGAATGCAGAAGGAAGATTCCCGTAATAAGCGCGTGCACGTCTAGAACGTGCTGACGTGAGACGTCTGCTTTAGCCAATCACAACAGTCAGACGCATTTACGTTCGCGCGGTTTGTGAGAATAAAAGCCTTTGAATATTTTTCCAGACACATTTAGCTGCTAGAAGTTAGTCAGATCACGTTTATATGTTCTTCTTAATGCCAACTGTGTAAATGATCATCGATAAGACTCTTATGATAAGCCGTTGTTTGTTTACCTTCAAGCTGTGCGTGTGCCTCTGGAACAGCCTGTGAGCGCCTGCACACGCACATATTATGAACATCTCGACATGCGAAAGTGATCCTGCGAAAGTTGTTCACAATATTGATCATCTACAGAGTTTGTAATTTAGTCAAATGTTTACAAATACAAGCGCAGCCGTTTAAAGCTCATTTGTGGTGAATGATGTCAGAATTTACCGGTATTTTGGAATGGATGTGTGAATGCTCTTTGCTGCTGTAGCCCATCTGCCTCAAGGTTGGACGTGTTGTGCGTTCAGAGATGCTCTTCTATATACCTCAGTTGTAACGAGTGCTTATTTGAGTTACTGTTGCCTTTCTATCAGCTCAAACCAGACATTTGCGCCCACAGGACTGCTGCTCACTGGATATTTTCTCTTTATCTGATGCTCGGTTTGAACTGCAGCAGATCGTCTTGACCATGTCTACATGACCAAATGCCTTGAGTTACTGCCATTTGATTGGCTGATGAGAAATATTTGTTAAAGAACAATTAGAAAGATGTACCTAATAAAATGGCCGGTGAGTGTGTGTATGTGTATATATATATATATATATATGTTAGTGCTGTCAAAATTAACGCGTTAACGCATGCGATTAATTTTAAATAATTAACGCGTTAAAAAAAATTAACGCAATTAACGCAGTTCAGGGTTTTTTTTACTTCCTGTTGTGGTGGACGTGTGTTCAACATGCAATAAATGTGGATTAGACCAAGGAAGCACTTTTTGAAGGCAAGTTCCAGTATAAAACAATTAGTTGCATCACAGGTTATCCAGATTTTCATGCAATTTCGGGTGTTTCATTTTTAACTTTCGACTTCTGTTGTAAGTTGATACCGCATGGCGAACAGAAAGAAAATCCTTCGCATTTCGTGACTCGGTGTTTCTTTAAGGTAAGGTTCCTTTTAAGGCTACACGGTAGAATTTTAATAAGAGTATTATCTTAATCATATTAAAATCGGAGTATTGGTGTCTTATGTAAATGTACTCAGAACGTCTGGTGAAGTCGCGAGATGTCAAAGACAGGGCATTACTCTGCCTTTCAGCATGAGCCCTCCAAGTTTAGCGTGTTTCCTCATTAAACGCAACGAAAGCGTATGCTTCGCGTTGTTGTGTCAGAATCCTTGTGACATACAGTAATACTTTAGGACGCTTAGTTTAGGACGCTTAGCAAATTTGATGAACGTGATCATGCGTGTTGAATCTAAGGGGAGTCGCTCCAGTATGGAAGGCCGTTGGGGCCAAAACGTCTGCAGCGCTCTGTGTGTGTGGGTGTGTGTCTGTGTCAGCCCCGTTGAGGGGTGTCAGGGGTGGAGTGAGCGACGTATCTGAGTAGGGGCGAGAGGGGTGTGCAATGCATTTAACGACCGGTTTGCAAGAAATTATCCTTCATTTGCGGGCATTTGGGGAGTCTCTGTGCACTTGCGGGATACTCCTAGTCTTAGCAACTGGATGAATGTAAAGGAGGATTAGGCAAAATTGTTTCTACTCTATAATTAATGTTCTCAACTCACAGCAATAAAACTTTACAATGAGTGCAACAGTTTGTATTCTATAGTTTATTATTATAATTTTTCATTTTCCATATCTGCAATTCCTGTATTTTGGCATTTTTTTGCAGTCCACTTAGAATCCAACATGGAAATCAATGTTTTCTTTATTGGCATTGATTGTTTTGAAATTTAAATGTCATTAACATGCCTGTGTTTTAATTTCTGTCATAAATATGGCTGTCAAGCCAGGATCTTGATGGTTTATTGTGGGTATGTTGTTTACATGAAGAAATCTGTGTTACAAGTTAAACAAAAATTCTATTAAACAATTATATTTTGAATTTAAATATTTTTTTCTTGCGTTTACATTAATTTTACATTTAAATAGGCAAAATTACAAGTTTCAGTACACTTAACAACATTGCATATTATCATAGTATCATGCAGCCCTAGTACATAGGTCAATTAATGTCATTAGATCACCACATTATCCAATGTTTCCTCCTGAGTTTCATGTAATGTGGGGTGTTTCATTTGAAATGGTTTGTTTTAATTCAGAAACACTTCATCAGATGCGAGAGGGGTGTTTTAATGGACATTGATGAGACGAAAAGTCTCCATGGTCTTAATACCATGTGTGTTTTCTACCAATATGACTTTAGTCGCAGTGGTTCTCAATTCCGGTCCTCGCAATTCGGTTCCCTGCAAGTTTTTTCTTTACTTAACACACCTGAATCAAATCAACTCGTTAACAGAAAGATCCATGAACTAATCCTTGAGTGTTAACTGGACCGGAATTGAGAACCACTGGATTAAGATCAAAAGTCTCTGTTTACATGGCAGACTCTTCAAAATCAAAGTATTCATTTGTGATCTTACCACAATATCGTCAATTTACAGAGAGGTTTCCTGAAAGCAGCACAGAGAAGACTCACACCCGAATCTCCCAGTTTATTCCAAGACAGATTGAGTTCTCTCAGGTGTGAGGGGTTTGACCTCAGAGCTGAAGCCAAAGCAGCACAACCTTCACTTGTGATTCCACAATCACTCAATCTGCAGTGAGATTAAGAGATGTAAACATTATATACTAAAACAAAAGCAATAAAATATCTAATATTCTAAGGTTATTTATGGGGAAAAAACAATGCAGAGAACTACATTGACAACTAAATTCTTAATGTCTTAATTAGCAATTAATATTTACAATTTACAAGCTTGTTTCTTTGAGTTTTATCATTGAAGTGAATGTTCTCTTTGATACTTACTGAACTAATCTGGCCTCTTTAATCACCGGCACAAGTTTCTTAAAAACGCGCAAATTTTCAGCTTTATTGTTTCCTTCAACAAACGTCTTGAAATCAAATTCATTCAGCTCCTCCTCTGAGGTCAGAAGCACAAAAGCTACAGCTGACCAATGGGAAGAAGAGAGTCTGGACTTTTTGATTGTTCCAGATCTCAGATAGTGCGTTACTTCCTTCACTAGTGAATGATCACCCAGTTCATTCAGACTGTAGAACAAATTAATGAATTTCTCTGGAGAGTGAGTGGTCCTGATCTTCTTCTTGATGTAATCAGCTGTTTCCTTGCTGTCTGGGCAGCATCTTGTCTGTTTTGTTAGCCCTTGTAGGAGAATCTGATTATTTTCGACTGACAAACCCAGAAGAAACCGGAGGAAAAGGTCCAGTTCTCCATTTTTACCCTGTAGAGCTTCATCTACAGCTCTCTGATGCAGCTCAGATATTGAAACTTGTTTTGATGGCTTGGGTTTAAACCAGTTCCTGATCATGGAGTGCAAAGTTTGTTTAGTAATTGGTTCAAACACATTTCTGTTGTGGTTTGTGAATAAGAGGTGCACATATAGAGCTGCTAAATGTTCCTGAACGCTCAGATGAACAAAGCTGAAGACTTTCCCCTGATACAAGCCAAACTCCTCTCTGAAGATCTGAGTGCACAATCCTGAGTAAACTGAAGCTTCTGCCACATCAATGCCACACTCTCTCAGGTCTTCCTCATAGAAGATCACATTGCCTCTTTCCAGCTGCTCATACGCCAGTTTCCCCAGTTTGAAGATCACGTCTTTGTCTTTTTTTCCAGTATACTTCACGTCTTTGGTGTTGATCTGTGCCATCAGGAAGTGTGTGTACATCTGAGTGAGAGTCTTGGGGATCTCTGCAGTCTCTGCTTCACTCAACATCTTCTCCAGAACAGTGGCTGAGATCCAGCAGAACACTGGGATGTGGCACATGATGTAGAGGCTCCTGGAGGACTTCAGGTGTGAGATGATTGTATTGGCCAGACTCTGATCACTGATTCTCTTGCTGAAGTATTCCTCCTTCTGAGGGTCATTGAAGCCTCGTACCTCTGTCACTCGATGGACACACTCAGAGGGGACGAGATCTGCTGCTGCTGGTCTGGAGGTGATCCAGATGAGGGCAGAGGGAAGCAGATTCCCCACAATCAGGTTCGTCAGCAGCACGTCCACTGATGATGTTTTGGTCTCATGTTGTAGAATCTCATTGCTTTTGAAATTTAGAGGAAGACGACACTCGTCCAGACCATCAAAGATGAACAATATTTTATATTTGTCACTAAAAATGTCAATATCTTTTGTTTCAGGGAAAAATACATGCAGGAGATCTGACAGACTGAGTGTTTTGTCCTTCATCAGATTGATCTCTCTGAAAGGAAGTGGAAATATGAGCTGGACGTCCTGATTCTCCTTCTCTTCAGCCCAGTCCAGGATGAACTTCTGCACAGAGACTGTTTTTCCAATGCCAGCGACTCCCTTCGTCAGCACAGTTCTGATGGCTTTGTCTTGTCCAGGTAAAGGTGTAAAGATGTCTCTGCATTTGATCGCTGTGTCCTCTGTTGTTGATCTCCTGGATTGTGTCTCAATCTGTCTCACCTCATGCTCATTACTGATCTCTCCACTCTCACTCTCTGTGATGTAGAGCTCTGTGTAGATCTCATTCAGGAGTCTTGGGTTACCTTGTTCCGTTGCTCCCTCATACAGACACCGGAACTTATTCTTTAGATTTGATCTAAATATGTTAAGGATATCTTGGCTGCAAAACAAAATATTTACAAATTATCACTCCTTTAGTCATGACAGTTCATTAAATTATTTACCATGGCTTAAACCCAATTGAGATGCTTTGAAAACCTTAAAGTGTCCCTATTGAAAAAAATTGCACATACAGTTGAAGTCAGAATTATTAGCCCCCAATTGGAATGGAAACAGAATGTACCTGAGCTCAATTTAGAGGTAGGGTTTGAATACTTATGTACAGGCGATTTTTCAGCTTTTTTACTTTTAATAAATTTGCAACAATTTTAGAAAATCTTTTTTTTCACATTATGGGGGATAGTGCGTATAATTTTGAGGAAATAAATGAATTTAGTCCATTTTGGAATAAGACTGTAACATAAAAACATGCAGAAAAAGTGAAGCGCTGTGAATACTTTCTGTATGCACTGTATACAGAATATACATAGAATACATAACACCATTAAAATATTACCTGTATCTGTAGCTAGATAAAGTGTTTTTTGCACCATTAACATGTAGTGATGAATCCATAGACTGATACACAGCTCTATAAAGGAGAATTTATAATATTCAAACTTAATGCCTCATAAATAACACAGGAACGCCCCCCGTTACGGAATTTTTCCGGAAAAGAACATTCATATATCCACTATAAAAAAACGGTACATTCGGACATCATTAACCAGAAATTACCTCTAAACTGCTGGGCTTGTATTTGTAAACATTTGATTACATTACAAACTCTGTGGATGGATCAGTATTGTGAACAACTTTTGCATGTCGAGATGTACATAAAATGCGTGTGTGCTTTCACAGGCACACGCAAAGCTTAAAGGTAAACAAACAACGGCTTATCATAAGCATCTTATCGATAATTTTTTACACAGTTGGCATTAAGACGAACATATAAACGTGATCTGACTAACATCTAGCAGCTAAATATGTCTGGTAAAATATCCAAAGGCTTTTATTCTCATAAACCGCGCGGACGTGAATGCTTCTGACTGTTCTGATTGGCTAAAGCAGGAGTCTCACGTCAGCACCTTCTAGACGTGCAAATGCTCTTTCTGGCAATCGTCCTTCTGCCTTCACACGGCGCAGCCTTCCGGCAAATTACCGGTAATCTTACAACTTCTTTTTCCGGAAAATAGCCAGAACGAACTTACCGATATTTTCAGAAAGGGCCTGTTCACACATACACACCTTTCCGGAAAATTGCCGGTAATTTTCCGGAAAGGTGTGTATGTGTGAAAGGGGCTATTGACTCTAATAAATGTTCTGCCATATTTAACAACGAAAACTAATTAAACATATATTACCTGTATCTGTAGTCAGATGTAGTGTTTCCATTATTAAAATGTAGTGGTGTATCCATAGACTGATGACTCTTTGCAGACACACAGCTAGAAGCTGATGATCCTGTTCTCTTGAAGTGGATTAAACTGTGACAGAGCATTCAAAAACAATGCCTTCAGGTCATCAATAACATGACTCTCATTCACAGCCAAAATGCTAAACTGTATCCAATACCAACAGCTAATATATGAACAGCGCACAATTAGACTTTTAGAAATGTCCAGCCCTGTTATAACATATATTACCTGTGTATGTAGTCAGATTTAGTGTTTCCATCATTAAAACGTAGCGGAGGATCCATAGACTGATGACTCTTCACAGACACACAGCTTGAAGCTGGTGGTCTTGTTATCTTGAGGCGTGCTGGACTGTGAGAGAGTAGACATACATCTCTGTAAAACAGACTTTATATGCAGGTAGTAGGCATGGGACAATAACCATTTCCAATGTATATTGTTTATTTAGGTTTTTGTTGCTGTTGTTGTTTTTTTAGGACAACAGTATCTTAAGCCGAAAAGATATCCAAAAATGCTGTTTTAAATTGTAAAGAAATCTGTTTTAGAAACTAATGAAGACAGCAGAAGTCAATGATTCATTTGAATTAATTAGCCTGACATATTTACCGTTTCAAAATATTTTAAATCACAATATCGTCAAACCATGAAACCGTGATATTTTGATCCAAGGTTATCATACCGCCAGAATCTTATACCAGCCTATGCCTGACAGGTAGTAATAAACATAATTATACTCATTCATGAAACATTTGAGACTGCACGGTGACACAGTGGGTAGCACTGTCACCTCACAGCAAGAAGGTCGCTGGTTCAAGCCTCGGCTGGGTCAGTTGGCATTTCTGTGTGGAGTTTGCATGTTCTCCCTATGTTTGCGTGGGTTTCATCTGGTCTTTCAGTGCTCTGGTTTCCCCCCACAAGTCCAAACACATGTGGTACAGGTGAACTGGGAAGACTAAATTGTCCGTAGTGTGTGTGTGAGAATGGGTGGGTATGGGTTGCAGCTGGAAGGGCATCCATAGAATGCTGGATAAGTTGGTGGTTCATCCCTCTGTGGCAACCCCTGATGAATAAAGGGACTAATCCGAAATAAAAATGAATGAAACATTTGTAAATGTACAGTAGAAATAAATTCTCATTAATTTGCATGTAAAGCAAACATTCTGGGAAACACACCTCTAGGTTCACCAATGCTTCAAAAACATGTGATATAAACGTAAATGTTATGCTGAGTACACACTTGTTTTTTTTGTTTTTTTAAGTTGTCTGTTCTCCAATGTTTTCACATTTCACAATTCTCTGGGATAGCATTCGATTGGTTCTGTGGAACAAAACTGCATGATGGTTCAGTGACAGGAAGATAAACACTGCATGACTACACTAGAAACAAACGCCCACAACACTGTCTGATTTGCAAACATGCGAGAAGTGATTAGAAAATAACTCAAGATCATCAATGAGATCAGAGTTGAAAGTAAGAGATCAACAAAAAATTGTGCCGATTCAGACGACCGAGCCACTTCAGCTGGCCTCTCTCGATGTGGAGGAGCAGCAGCTCTACTCCAAGATCCTCCCTGGTGACAGAGCTCCTCACCCTATCTCTGAGGGTGCACCCTGCCACCTTCCAAAGAAACTCATCGGCCGCTTTGATCCAAGACCTTGTTCTTTCTGTCATGACCGTAGGTGAGAGTAGAAAAGTAGATTGGCCAGTAAATCGAGAGCTTTGCTTTTCGACTCCTTTTTTACAACAATAAACCGGTACATCAAGTGCATTACTGCTGCTGCACCAATCAGCCTGTCAATTAAAATAATGAACAGAACCGGTGACAAAGGGCAGCCCTGCTGGAGTCCAACATGCACTGAAAACAAGTCTAACTTATTGCCAGCAATGCAAACCAAACTCGTACTCTGTTCATACAAGAACGAGACAGCCCTTAATAGAGCACCTAAGACCACATACTCCCAGAGCACCTTCCACAGAATGCCACAAGGGACACGGTCGAATGCCTTCTCCAAGTCCACGAAACATGAACCCTCGAGCACCCTGGTGAGGGTATAGAGCTGGTCCAGTGTGCCACGACCTAAAGGAAATCCTCATTGTTCCTCCTGGATCCCAGGTTCAACTATCGGCTGGATTCTCCTTTCCAGTACCCTGGCATAAACTTATCCAGGGAGGCTAAGGAGTGTGATCCCCCTATAGTTGGAACACACATTCTCGGGCCCCCCTTTTTAAAAATGGGCACCACCACTCCGGTTGCCCAGTCCAGAGGTACTGTCCCCAACCTCCATGCAATATTGTAGAGGCATGTCAGCCAAGACAGCCCCACAATATCGAGAGACTTGAGATACACATGGTGTATCTCATTCACCCTCGCTGTTTTGTCACCGCAGAGTCTGCGAAATACCTTAGTGACTTTAGCTTGGATGATGGGAGAGTCCACCCCTGCATCCCCAGTCTCTGCTTCCTCAATTAAAGACATGTCAGTGGGATTGAGGAGATTCTCGAAGCATTCCTTCCATTGTTTGACAGCATCCCCAGTCGAGGTACAGTAAACAGCTCCAGACTTCTGCTGTAAGCAGTGTCGGTGTGGAATAGCATCCCCTTCCTGAGGCACCAGACGGTTTGCCAGAATCTCTTTAAGGTTGACTGGTAGTCTTCCTCCATGGTCTCCCCAAACTCTTCCCAGGCCTGAGTTTTTGTTTCCGCAACCACCTGTGCTGTATGCTTGGCCTTTTGATACCCATCATCCTCATCATCATCTGTCTCAGAAATCCTACAGGTCAACCTAATCTGCCAAGAACTGCTTCTTCAACTTGACGGCATCCCTTACTTCCAGTATCCACCACCGGGGGCGTAAATTGCCGACATGACAGGCACCACAGGCCTGATAGCCACAACTCCACACAGCCGCATCAACAATGGAGTTGGAGAACATAGACCACTTGGTCTCTGAACATCTTACAATTAGTCTCTTATGATTTCCAGCCCTGTTATAACAGATATTAAATATATTACCTGTATCTGTAGTCAGATGTAGTGTTTCCATTATTAAAATGTGGTGTATCCATAGACTGATGACTCTTCGCAGACACACAGCTAGAAGCTGATGATCCTGTTCTCTTGAAGTGGACTAAACTGTGACAGACAGAGCATTCAAAAACAATGCCTTCAGGTCATCAATAACATGACTCTCACACAAAGCAGAAAGGCAAAGCTGTATCCAATACCCACAGCTAATGTATGAACAGCGCACAATTATACTCTTATAAATGTCCAGCCCTGTTATAACAATGTAAATAAAATGTGGATACCATATGTAGATAAGAAATATATTACCTGTTCCTGTAGTCAGATGTAGTGTTTCCATCATTAAAACATAGCGGTGGATCCATAGACTGATGACTCTTCACAGACACACAGCTGGACGCTGGTGATCCTGTCAGAGATGAGCAGACTTTTAGTTAAATGGATTTAAAGTCTGTTTACTTACTTTTGAGTATTTGTAATCAGCTTTTTTCTAGACAAAAATTATGAAAAACTCTTAATCATTCAATCAGTTTATTTACTTATGTACAGGGCCGGCAAGTCCATAGAGGCAACCTAGGCGGCCGCCTAGGGTGGCAGAATAGAGAGGGCGGCGTCCGCGACACTACCCTCACAACCCGCGCCCTCAGTTATATCCGCATCTAGTACAGTAGAATATAGAGAGGGCGGCGTCCGCGACACTACCCTCACCACCCGCGGCCTCAGTTATATCCGCGTCTAGTACGGTAGAATAGAGAGGCGGCGTCCGCGACACTACCCTCACCACCCGCGCCCTCAGTTATATCCGCGTCTAGTACGGTAGAATAGAGAGGCGGCGTCCGCAACACTACCCTCACCACCCGCGCCCTCAGTTATATCTGCGTCTAGTACGGTAGAATAGAGAGGACGGTGTCCGCGACAATACCCTCACCACCCGCGCCCTGAGTTATATCTGCGTCTAGTACGGTAGAATAGAGAGGGCAGCGTCCGCGACACTACCCTCACCACCCGCGCCCTCAGTTATATCCGCATCTAGTACGGTAGAATAGAGAGGACGGCATCCGCGACACTACCCTCACCACCCGCGCCCTGAGTTATATCCGCATCTAGTATGGTAGAATAGAGAGGACGGCGTCCGCGACACTACCCTCACCACCCGCGCCCTGAGTTATATCCGCATCTAGTACGGTAGAATAGAGAGGACGGCGTCCGCGACACTACCCTCACCACCCGCGCCCTGAGTTATATCCGCATCTAGTACGGTAGAATAGAGAGGACGGCATCCGCGACACTACCCTCACCACCCGCGCCCTCAGTTATATCCGCATCTAGTACGGTAGAATAGAGAGGACGGCATCCGCGACACTACCCTCACCACCCGCGCCCTGAGTTATATCCGCATCTAGTATGGTAGAATAGAGAGGACGGCGTCCGCGACACTACCCTCACCACCCGCGCCCTGAGTTATATCCGCATCTAGTACGGTAGAATAGAGAGGACGGCATCCGCGACACTACCCTCACCACCCGCGCCCTGAGTTATATCCGCATCTAGTATGGTAGAATAGAGAGGACGGCGTCCGCGACACTACCCTCACCACCCGCGCCCTGAGTTATATCCGCATCTAGTACGGTAGAATAGAGAGGACGGCGTCCGCGACACTACCCTCACCACCCGCGCCCTGAGTTATATCCGCATCTAGTACGGTAGAATAGAGAGGACGGCATCCGCGACACTACCCTCACCACCCGCGCCCTCAGTTATATCCGCATCTAGTACGGTAGAATAGAGAGGACGGCATCCGCGACACTACCCTCACCACCCGCGCCCTGAGTTATATCCGCATCTAGTATGGTAGAATAGAGAGGACGGCGTCCGCGACACTACCCTCACCACCCGCGCCCTGAGTTATATCCGCATCTAGTATGGTAGAATAGAGAGGACGGCGTCCGTGACACTACCCTCACCACCCGCGCCCTGAGTTATATCCGCATCTAGTACGGTAGAATAGAGAGGACGGCATCCGCGACACTACCCTCACCACCCGCGCCCTCAGTTATATCTGCGTCTAGTACGGTAGAATAGAGAGGGCGGCGTCCGCGACACTACCCTCACCACCCGCGCCCTCAGTTATATTCGCGTCTAGGGTGGCAGAATAAAGAGGGCGGTGTCCACGACAGCCCCCCGCTTTCATTTTAGGGTTGAGGGCGGCATGACCGTCCTTTGCCTAGAGCGGCAGTTCAGCTTGCTCCGGCTCTGCTTATGTATATGTAAATATATCACTTTTTATTAATTTCTGTCATGATATTAAGTAATAAGCAAATGTTTATATTATTTATTTTACAATACAGTTTGGCAAGATATATATTATGGGAGACTTGCTTTGTTTACCAAACAAGTGGATCAAATTAGATTTGAATTCTAACCATTAAATAAGTTTAACAGTAATTATTTTTTAACTGTATTCCTAAAATCATTCCAAATAAATCCACAAATATTTTGCAAAATTCTGTACAGAAATAGCAACAAAATGTCTACATATTCCATCTGGCCCTGCCTATAAGGTATGAACTGCCTTACTTTCTGTTCCCCGCCAAGATGTTTTTAGCAACCTGATAATAATCCATATGCGAGTGTTTTAAAGCTCTTCTGTGGTCCAGTGATTTTTTTTTTTCTCTTGAAAGTGGGATGCTTTGCGTTTACTTATTGAGCTCTAGGAGCATGAAAACAAACACTGAGCACTGTGAAATACACTCACCGGCCACTTTATTAGGTACATCTTACTAGTATCAGATTGGACCTCCTTTTGCCTTCAGAACTGCCTTAATCCTTCGTGGCATAGATTCAACAAGGTACTGGAAATATTCCTGACATTTTGCTCCAAATTGACATGATAACATCACACAGTTGCTGCTGATTTGTCAGCTGCACATACATGATGCGAATCTCTCGTTCCACCACATCCCAAAGGTGCTCTAGTGGAATGAGATCTTGTGACTGTGGAGGCCATTTGAGTACAGTGAACTCATTGTCATGTTCAAGAAACCAGTCTGAGATGATTTGCTCTTCATGACATGGCGCGTTATGCTGCTGGCAGACGCTCGGCCAAGAGGGAGAAGAAGACCGGAGGATTCTGTCAGCCCACCACTGTGATGAGGAGAACTCCAGGAGTTGGACGTGTTGTGTGTTCAGAGATGCTCTTCTGCAGACCTCAGTTGTAACAAGTGGTTATTTGAGCTACTGTTGCCTTTCTATCAGCTGGAACCTGTCTGGCCATTCTCCTCTTACCTCTGTCATCAACACGGCATTTGCGCCCACAGAACTGCCGCTCACTGGAAATTTTCTCTTTTTCAGACCATTCTCTGTAAACCCAACGATGGTTGTGCGTGAAAATCCCAGTAGATCAGCAGTTTCTGAAATTCTAAGACCATGCCATGTTTAAAGTCACTTAAATCACCTTTCTTCCCCATTCTGATGCTAGGTTTGAACTGCAGCAGATTGTCTTGACCACGTCTACATGCCTAAATGCTTTGTGTTGCTGCCATATGATTGGCTGGTTAGAAATTTGCGGTAACAAGCAGTTGGATAGGTGTACCTAATAAAGTGGCCGGTGAATGTACATACTTTAGAGCTCATGATGCAATTCTAATTTTTCAGGACTCCCATTAACATTACAAGCTGGAGGGGAAAAAAATAATAAAACCTTGTCTCTGGTATAATGAGATAACAAAATAAAACAAACAAAAAACTATTTGCTGGACACACAACCTTAGGGTAAAGTATGCTGTAAAATATATATTAGGAATAATTGAAGATGGACCATTGCATTACTAGAAAATAATGCACAATCGAGATGGTGATGCAGCCATAATGCAAAGCTGAATGAATTAATCGAAATTTGAAGACTTAAGATGAACTAATCTTTTCTGTTTCTGCACTGTATAGAATGTATTGCTATAATTTATGGAAATGTGATGTTACAAAATTTCCAGCAAACAACGTGAGGGCTCAGGAGATGGCAGGTAAGACCCAGGTAAGCATCCTTAGTTACTTATAATTTAAGCCATCAAGGCTGCATCGTAATTCTTTTCTTATGTAAAAATGCCATTGCTTGTGTGTGTCACAGTGTTTGTGTATTGTGTTAGGAAATTACCAGTTTTTTTTTATTATAATCTTATGAAATTATCAAAATTAATAGAAAAGAGCATGATCTAAAATTCCCACATAAGTCTATATTTAAACATGTTCCAGAACAGCCACATACCAACAGCATTTGTACGATTGCAATGACAGCCTGTATTTCACATTATGGATTACCTGCCATATGTGACAATGAAAACAAAATGAGTAAATGTTACCTGTGTGTGTAGTTAGATGGTGTGTTTCCATCATTAACTCACAGAAGTGGACCCATGGACTGCTATCTCTTCATAGACACACAGCTGACCATGCTTATTTTCTTGGAATGAACTGTCACAGCAAAGATACAAGTATGAAAATGTATGGGTGTATATTTAATAAAAAAAAGTTAACCAGACTGGAAATTTTACAACTCTATCTTATACATATTATTCTGCTGTATATGTTGCCAAAATTGGTGATAATGAAACATTATAATTAATATTGATAATTGTCTAATCTAATGATAGTTTTGGACTGTTTTTAATGCTGTCCTCCTGAGTTAATATTAGCTACATAGCCTACCATTTACATTAGATGCCAAAAGTTATCGCGGGAAACAGACGAACTTTTTATCAAGCATGTTCTTTTCTAGGTTATTTCGTACAATTATTCTTCACATTTAGTAATATAATTCAGTATGCATGCAAAGAGATTTATTTTGCCAAAGCCAGATAGCCTATTTGAAATTAATTCGGACAAGGCTACTTACCACGGTTGCATGCCGGTAGCGATTTTTCCATGTTCCTCGCTTAAGATTTAAGATTTTTTTCCAGCTGCGAATTTATCAGAATAAGTGTACTAAGGCAACTGGCAGAGTTCATACATGCAGTTGAATCTTTTACAAATGGTCCCTGATACGCGAACTTTCTGTTGAACGTGCAGGCACAAAATGGCCCCCGAAAGAAAACTTTCACTTTCTGTTCTGCCAGAATCATCCCTAATATTAAAGGAATATGTCTCCCTCTGTGAAAATCTGGTTAATATACTCACTGGAGGGCTGTTGCCTATGCATTCTTCGCACACAAAAGTAGATAATATAATATTTCTTTCTTGTCGGCTTAGTCCCTTTTATTAATCTGGGGTCCCCACAGCGGAATGAACCGCCAACTTATCCAGCACGTTTTTACGCAGCGGATGCCCTTTCAGCCGCAACCCATCTCAGGGAAACATCCACACACTCATACACACACTCATACACAACAAACAATTTAGCCTACCTGTACCACGTGTCTTTGGACTGTGGGGGAAACCGGAGCACCCGGAGGAAACCCATGTGAACGCAGGGAGAACATGCAAACTCCACACAGAAACGCCAACTGAGCCGAGCCGAGGTTCGACCCAGCAACTTTCTTGCTGTGAGGCGACAGCACTACCTACTGCGCTACTGTGTCACCATAATATAATATAATATAATATAATATAACAAAACATATGCATTGAATGATATTTCATTGCTATTTTTACATTTACTCCCTTACAATCATTCAATTAAACTTTTTGCTCAAAAGTACGGGTGAACAAATACTATACAATCTTTCAGAAAGAGCTTCAGCTACACCAGAGTGACACCAAATATATATTACACAATCATACTGCTGTATTTGTAATATGAATATGTGGTTTAAGTAACAACGTAAATGCAAAATACAACTATATACTGTAACCGGGGGAGTGACACAGACAACAAAGGTGCGAATCCACATGCAGGTATATTAGCAAGGTCAGGCCAGCAATGGTCAACACAGGGGCTAAC